ATAGTTCTAATTGCTTGAGCTCAAGATTTCAAGACTAGCCTGAGCAAGAGTTAAAACTCTGTCTCTACTACAAATAAAAAAAATTAGCTGGGCATTGTGGTGGGTACCTGTAGTCCCAACTACTTGAGAGGCTGAGATAGGAGGATCACTTGAACCCAGGAATTTGAGGTTGCTGTGAACTAGGCTGACACCAAGGCACTCTAACCTGGGCAACCGAGTGAGACTCTGTCTCCAAAAAAAAGAAAGAAACAAACATGTTCCTGAATGATGAATGATCGGGGGTCAAGGAGAAAAAAAGATGGAAATTTAAAAAAAAAAAAAAAAGTCCCAGGTTCTACTCCCAGCTCAGCTCTGCCATAAACTTGCTGGGTGTCCTTGGGCAGTTACTTTCCCTCTTCATCTACAGAAAGGGTAGCCCAGGCAATTTCAAAAGAATGTTGATATCTAACACTCTAGGAATAAGGGACCAGGATTCCCATGACAGACAGGAGAAGGCTGAGGGTGGGCAAGGTCAGAGCAGGAAAGTAACACAGCAAAAGCCCACACAAAAGAACTCTTCTTGAGGAAAGGATCGTGGGGACAGCTATTCCTTCATCAGGAAGGCAGGAAGTGAGACCTCAGGCAGGACTATCAACCAGCCCCACCTTTCTCTTTACCTACTCTCTAGGAGAACCTGGGAAACCAGGTCAGTGTTGTTTGGCAGGCCCAGGCTGGATTAGAACCTGCCAGCTCTGGTGTATGTGGCTGGCACCTTAGCTGCTTAAAAAAACCAAAAGTGCTGGTTTTACAAATCCCAGGGTGGAGGGGGCTGTGCCCAGTTTGGTCTCATCCCTCTCTACCCTGGACCTGAAGTCAGACCTTCTGCAATGCTCCTGGACAGAGTCAGGGTGGAAGCAGGAGAAGCAGACACAGGCCCTGCCCAAGCATCCCAGACAGGGACAGAGACAGGGCGGGTTTCTGAGTTGAATGGGGGGCCTTTGTTTAGCAGCGAGCTCTATTATTGGCAGACAGGAGGAAGAAGCCAGGTCTGAGATCACAGGGTGGAGTGGGGGACAGCTCAAGGACAAAAAGACAGACAGAGGCCCTGGAGAGGGGTGCAGAAGACCCTTCCACTCTAGGCCACACCAGGTGAGTCTGTAAGCAGGCAACGAGGCTGCTTTGGGTGAACCCTACTCCTCCTTCCTGCCTCCTCCCCAGACTGGGCACCCTAAAT